TTCTAAAGCATTTGTGTGATCATTTTGTCAATCAAATTTTAGAAAACATAGAAAAAGTGTACTGTTCTGTCTAAAGTTTTATGTTATTCAGAATCCATTTTGATTAGGCACGGCCAGCAGGTGAATCTGTGTCTGGCGGAACAGTAACACAAAATATCGATTCATCAGTGCATTGCAATTATTATTTTCCCAATTCAATATCGATTCAGAAAAACCCTAAGATCGATTGTTTTTGTTGTAATGACACCCCTCTCCACTGGGGGCACTGTGAGTGCTGTGAATTCAGCTCAAGCACAATTGTTCCCTTTACATATAGTTTTTGAAAACATGAGGAAAAATCTTATATGTATTATAAACTTGATGTGCACTATCACAAAACACATTTTGCTTACAAAAGTTCCGTCATATATGTGAACTTTGATATGAAACCCACCTGTTTGTCAGCAGCTTAAGCAAATGGCTTTGACCCTGTTTATACTAGATCTCAGTGGAGGCGTGAGGCTCTGTCGGCTCTGAGGTTGTCAAAATTAAATAACATCATGTTAACATATTACTGTGAAATGTATACATGTGGTTTTTTTTGTGAGGACAAATGTTCATATTTAGACTTCAATATATATTTTTAAAGCCATTTACAACTTTTTTCATGTGGGTCCTCGGGGGCTCAACTTTTCTGTTAAGGGTGTGTGTGTGTGTGTGTGTGTGTGTGTGTGTGTGTGTGTGTGCGTGTGTGTGTGTGTGTGTGTGTGTGTGTGTCTACATGTTTAAAATGATGAAAGTGATTCACATGGCGTAACTCAAAGGATTTACACCATGTGAATCACCTGTAAAGCACCCTTCAAAAAAGTACTTCCCTCATGTAGTGTATTGACAAACAGAAAGGAATACATGTTATTATCATAGAGTACATGGTATAAAGTGAATTACTATAAATACTGTTTGCTGCAATGTTGTTTCAAAAATTGGAATAAGGGAACAAATTACAAATCTCATTCTTGCAACATGGAAGAGCTAGCTTAAATTTTGCAATTCATCAATTATAACAACTAGCACAAAGCCTACTTGTAGCTAGCTTGTTAGCCTGCAGTCTGACAGTCAGGTATCTGACAGTCCACTGCAGGTATGAGATAAATATTCTTCCTTGTTGATCGAACAGCTAGACAGTAAAATATGCATTACCTCAAAGGTTGTAGGAGCTTTATTAGCCGAGTACATGCTGTAGAAGACGTCCTCCTCCTCCTCCTCCTCCTCCTGCACATTGCTTTAATCCTCCAACAAAGATTAACTGGATCAGAGTTAGAGGACACACTTGGCCCATATGGACAGTAGGCTAGGCTAACTAGCATTTAGGTGTCCATTTGGCCTCCCTGTGTGTGGAAGAAGAACACGTGGTTTAGTTCTTAAACAAACACTTTTTATGTAGTTTCATAGAGTTTGCCTTTGACTATATATTGAAAAACAAACAATAATATGAAACAGAAATTGATACAACTTATCTTTGCAATATATAATGACAATATTTATATCTTAATAAATACTGAAATAAATAAATACATGCATTCATGTAAACAGACACATGATCAAATATTGTTCATCAATTAGGACATGGAGAAGTGTCTATTTATTTCCTTTTCTTTGGCCTCAATGCATATGTTTTGTGTATTTAATGTTATTCCCTCCCTCAGGTGTAATATAAATACTAAATGTGCAGCCTTATGTGTTGACAGTGTATGAAAGACAAGCCCGAGGTGAGAGCTGTGCACAGCACAATGTACAAATATCGTATACTAATGTTTGTATTTTCACTTTATCGACTCATAAATGCACTGTTATGTAGATGTGGGAGGCTTCTTCATGAACAGGAAGTAGATTTATTTCACTCCTGGTTAAACAGGCGTGCACTGTGCAGCTCAGTAACTTTTCTGCATTACAAACACTCAATGGCTTACTTCCTCTACATGCCCAACCCTTAGGAGGCAAAGGTATTAAGCGACAGTGTCACCTAGTGGACTCCTGCAATACTCTGAATTCTCCAACATCCCTCCCCCCTTAAGCAGGTTCTATCCACCCCATGGGTTCATTATAACATTTCTTTTTATAAAACACAAAACATGACAACACTATCAGCTTTAAGCTTAGTGTCCCTTTTTGACTGTCTCCATGCTGGACATGTTGCCTACTTGAATCTGTCTCTGGTGGTAAGCATGGATCCGGTCCACATGTCTCCTCACTACTCTCCCATCACAAGACTGAAGTTATTGGTCAGTCAGTACTGAGTCACCTGTTCTCGCTATTTTGATGTGCTCGCTCTTTGTCCTTCTTGTTTTTCTTGCGCCTTTCTACAGCTTGCATCTTACTGAAAAGTGACAACAGTGGTTTGGGATCTGTCACTATGGTGAACTTTCGTCTGTAAGCACTTCAGCACCAGCACTTCAGCTGACAACATCATCTTGAAAGGCTGCTTGTTGTTCCTTCCCCCACTCTTTAAGTAGCATATCGTGCACAGGAGCCAGGATTATGGAAAGATTTGACAGGAACTTGTTATGTCCTAGATATGCCTTCAGCTACGGCACATTTGGACTGTGGGTCCACCCTGTTGCATCCACCTTCTGTCCCAGGAACATCTCGTCCTTACTCATGAACAAGCACTTAGTCCTCTTGAGCCTGATACCAGCATGCTCTAGCTCAGTGGTGTCCAAACTTTTTTTCTTGTTTTGTTAGAATCGCTCGCGGGCCACAGGTTTTGTTTTCTTAAATATAGTTGAAAAAGTAGTAAGGCTTTGTAGATCAGAATCAAAAGGCTCGCTAAAGAAACCCTTTAATAAAAGGAAATCAAATATCTTGAATTCTTCGTTCTACTTTATTTGTTTTTTTCACAGAATCAAGCCTGTAACGTGGTTCATTTTTTTGAATTTTTTTTTTCATAGTTTCCAAAAAAATGTGGAAAATAGTAAAAGCTGTAAATTAAAAAAAAAAAAAAAAACATACATTGTACTGAACATTTTCTATTTTTAGGAATAGTGTTCAGCCCTTGCTAACATGAAAAAGAAAAATAAGAAAATGTGCCAATCTTAATCGAGGCCTCGGGCCAAAATCTAATGATTCTTCATTTGAAGTCACTGGCCGCAAAAAACCCCCTCGGGCCGCACTTTGGACACCCCTGCTCTAGCTGCTTCAACACCATGGCCAGAGTCTGCAGGTGCTCTTGCTCATTTTTCCCTGTCAGCAGGATGTCATCCAGAAAAAAATGCCTAATAAGGGATACCCCTGCAGTAGTCCCTCCATGGTAGGCCTACTTTGAAAATTGCAGGGCTAGATGATACTCCACAAGGTAACAAACTGTTCGTGAACAAGCCTTTGTGGGTATTAATGCTCACATACTTTTTTTACTTCCTCGTTCAAAGGGATTTGGTGGTATGCATGACTCGGATCAAGCTTTGTAAACTGTTGTCGCTCTGAAAGGCTAGAGTAAAGAGGACCTCGATTCTGGGGATTGGATACTGCTCCAGTTTTTGTTACCTGATTTACAGTCAGTTTGTAGTCTCTGCACGGTCTTTCTGTGTCATCTGGCTTTAACACATGGGACCACAAGTGCTGCTCACTCTGCATGTTTTATTGGTTTAATTATCTCCTCTGTAAGGAGACCGTTGAGTTCAGCCTCAACTCTTCCTCTTATGGGGCAGGCCTGGCTTTAAAACATGGGGGTTGCTTCCTTGTCCACATAAAAGTTAGCTGGGGGGGGACTCTCTGAATTTCCTGAAAACCTCCCCATATTCCCTGATTACCTCCTCTGACATGTCTTCTCTGACATGGTAGATATGTGGTTCTGGTCTCCACTGTACCTTCCTACCAGACTAGCGCCCAACCCATACCACAAATACCAAAGATAGGTTTTTTTTCTGAACTTTCTGTGCTGCACCTTGACCATATCTGCTCCTAAAACATCAACATACTGTGTATATTCTGAGTCACCAGAAATGGCTCTTCGGCTGATGCCTCTATAGTTCATCTATCTTGTAGAATGTGAATATGACCTCATCTGCATCTTTGTCATTGTTGTCCTTCTCCACCTGGTTGACAAAGATTGCATCCTGAGTTTTTCCATGCTTGCTTGAGTTGTTGCACTTCAGCGCCTCTGAACCTTCAAAGTGCTTGCTGAGCCTCTATAGGCTAATTCAAAATAAAAATCATAAAGTAACATAAAGATACCCAGTATAGTAAGACGCCTATTTAGAATAACCTTCAATAAGATGAAACACAAAAGTGTTGTAAGCCTCACTGCATCTACAAGTATAGTCCAATTATAGGCTATCATTTATATTGTTCTGAAATCAGACACTGCATTTGTCCATCAGCTTATGATATTTAGCCTACTGTAAGGTTATTACAATTCTACTAATTTTCTCCTACGATAGACGCAAAGGCTTTGGATTCACAAGATAACGTGGGGGAGGCTCATGTGGAGTATAGATCCTGCTTATGATAAACTGATTAGACCTCCTCTGGCATCTGTTTTCATAAGAGTTATATTCTTAACTTGCTGTGTTTAAAGGGTTGGTTAACTCAGACGTGTTTATAAATACAAAGCCTATCTATAAATACTTATTGTTTTAATGAATGGAAATGTGTTAATAAAGTCTATTTTCTTATCATCTACTCAAATGTAGTGTGAGTGTCTCTCCTCTGACACCGGACCAGACAGGGTGAACAAAAGTGTTGGCAGCTTAAATCTATCTCTAGATGTTTGAGTCTACAGGACAAGAAGTCCTTGTTCCACTATCGTCACGTGTTATAATAATATTTTTACAGTCAATGGTTTTTAAAGTTTTTTGGGGGGGGACAAAAGGCAGAAAATTACACAAATCATGCTTATAACATGTGTTTCAAACAGGTTTCAAACCTCTTGCCCCCACTGTCCCTCCCACTTATTCTTCCTCTCACTGTTTATTGTATGACGTGACCTGCGTTTAACAAGTTACGTAATAGCGTTGCTACACACACACCCACAGCTGATGAATTTCTGGTCCGGCAGCGCGCAGATGCAGAGAGCAGAAGCTGTATCCATCCACGACGATATCTGCCACCATGGCCCCTGTGAAGCTCGACAGCTCAGGTTGGAAACCTCCATTTTCCCTTTTTGGTCTCCCACGCATGTACATGTGCAGAGAGGAAACAGCTCCGTGTGTTCATCTGCTCGTGGTGTCACTGCGCTGAAATTACAGACACATTTTAAAGATGCATGAGAAGCGCATCACCTCATCGTTCCGGCTTCCGCACAGTCATATTTAATTATAGCTGATAGCGGATGTGTTGTTATTGGTAGTGCTTACTGGTTACGGTGGAGGAGGCAGACGGAGGCTGCTTGTGTCCTTGTGGCAGTACTTACTGTACTCTCTCCATGAACTGCTGCAGGCTCAAGTTTCCTCTCCACTTGCAGCAGCTCTATTTTGTTGTTTATTATTTGCAAGCTGTAACATTCAGTGATCTTGACGACCAATACACGGTATGCACAAGATAAAAACACTTCACTTCACTTGAGTTCAGATCAGTTTAGATTTTCTATTTATTTTAAATAAAGCTTATTATTATTATTATTATTATTATTATTATTATATAAAATGTGTTTTACAATGATGGTTTACTTCTGAACCAAATATTTAAGCTCTACAGGGACAGACACTGCAGCTGTTTTATTACAATGAGCGTTGATAATAAGGATGCATGTCAGCTTCATGTGGTTGAAGTGGTGTGTTGTACAGTCTCTCACAATACGCCCACATGTTGCTGGTAAAGGAAGTCTACTCGCTTCACAGAGATTAGACTCTTAAGTCTGGAGAGACGTCTCTCCTTTGAGAAAGATACAGCATGCATTCATTTTAGTTAAGGGTCTACTTTATGCCAATAGTTTATATTTTCCCTCAATGAAGGTGTTGACCATATTGTGAAGTTTTGGAAGGAAATCCAACTTTTCCTCCCAAAAAAAACTATACAAAGGGAAACACTGCTTTCAAAAGTATTAAATATTTCAATACACTCCCTTGCAGCAGTTTTGGGGTTAAAGTGGAGCTGACTGTGAACAGTAATTCAACTCATGTGTCAGTAGTATAAACTGGAATGTGCCATAAGATGCAGACGCCCTTTGGTTTTGTTCAGCTCTGTCATTGTCTGGAATTGTTTGTTTTCACACCTTTCACGCTGAGTTTCACAACAAACTGCATTTTTACCGCTGCCTTTCTGTAAACACATACCATAGACAGAGTTGAAATTCAAGTAGAGCGATATTTATTGGTTGTTGATGGGATTGAATGTTTGATCATTTAATTCATATATGTATCTACACAGCAAGTAAGATACCACTGATGTCTTTGTTTTGTGCAGATGAAACCGTGCCTGTTGAAAATGGAAAAACAAAGACATGCATCACTTCAAAACAGAAGGGACTGGAGACGATTGCCCCTCTGGTTCGCTCCGTAGAAGAAACTCCTGAGCCCATCGCCACTGAAGTTCACGGCACCATCCCCTCCTGGATCAATGGAAACCTGCTACGCAATGGGCCGGGGAAGTTTGAGTTTGGAAACACACAGTGAGATCACCTCCACACACTGCTACACAACACACAAAATAAAACTTTTAACAGATGTGATGACATATTATCCTCCTTTTCAACCAGCTTAAATAAGTCTCAGAGCTCCACAAAACATGTCTGTGAAGTTTCTTGCCCAAAGAAATCCTGTTTTTGATCATGCCTATAAACCTCTCTGTTTCAGCCCTGTTCAAAACAGACTGTTTCTGTAGCTTTAGATGCGAATGAGATGTCTGACCACGCCCCTCTCTGGAAGGGCTTGGGTGCCTCGGGCTTTCTTGCGCCATGCCCAACTGTTGTTTACAATGGAAAGGTGGACTCATAGGACAGAACAAACACCTCGTTGTATGTGGGTCACCCATCTGGAGGAAGAGGTTACTGCCCATTGTGATGTCACAAAGGGAAACTCTCTGATCAGCCAGTTGGCCTGAAAAGTGGAGCAGGCTTAAAAAGGAGAGGATGGACTTATCTCATATTTGGGGGGTTTATAGACAGACTAGGGACACATGTTCGTCTAAGAAAACAATGGTAAAGTTTATTTTGCACAATATGTGACCTTTAACCTTTGGGGTTTTTTTTTATCACAGCTTCAACCACTGGTTTGATGGGATGGCCATGCTGCACAAGTTCAAGATTGAAAACGGCCAGGTGACGTACATGAGTCGATTCCTACGCAGCGACGTCTACAAGAAGAACAGTGAGAGGGACCGCATTGTGATATCAGAGTTTGGAACCCTCGCCATGCCCGACCCCTGCAAGAACTTCTTCCAGCGCTTTCTGTCTCGCTTTGAGATGATCCGTGAGTACAAAAGAGAGGGAATTAGGTAGGGACAGGGAACAGGACTCATTACCAAAGCTGTTCTTGGTTTGTTGACATATTGTGCCAGAACATTGCTTGACTTTATTATTACAACAAGCTCAAGATTGGGACACAGTGGGATCAGCTGAGTAAAATGAGGAGCAGCTGGACATCTGGAGGAAAAAATGTATTGGCTGCAAAAAAAACCACTCGATCATGTTATAGCTGTGTTGAGGCCTTGGTTGGAACCTCTTAAGTAAATAATGTTATGTAAACCCTGTACACGCAAGGCTTACATAATAACATGTGCAAATACAGCGGGGAACCAGAGAGGGGAGCAGGCCTCTCCTACATGGTTCACATTCCCCACTGGACTTTTATAAACCACAAATCACAGAGCAGAATGTTTAACCATTGTTTCTGTTCATTTAAACGTTGTAATTTATCCTTTGTTTCTCTCTTACAGAGCCTACTGACAATGCAAGTGTTAGCTTTGTGCAATACAAAGGTGACTACTATGTCAGCACAGAGACCAATTTCATGCACAGAGTGAACCCTGAGAATCTGGAAACTGTGGAAAAGGTACCGTCATGATCATTGTGGAATTACAGATGTAAATAGAAACGCCAGGGAGGCAATTTCATTTTGTAGCTGGGTATGAAACTGACTAAAATTAGAACGGATGCTTCTTCATAAACCACAAGAGCATCAGAGTAAAGATTGTCTGTTTTTATATAGTTGTGATAACTGCCTGAAACAGCTGCTGTCCAGGTAGGTGTCAGACCAAGTGATTGACTGCACACTGCCAAAACAGTGTTTGTTCGTTTACATTTTCAGGCACATATGTTCTTTACTGGGTGATACATAAGAAAGAGCAGGATGAGGTGTTTTGTTACAAATCACTACCTTCACATATACAGGACAAAATTATCCAAGATATGAGAGTTACCCCTTTGTCCACAGGCGGAGCCAAAATAGACACAGACTCGAAAAAATACTCACAGAAGCTTTAAGTAGAATGATTTTTTAAAGGTTACATATTACACAAAATACACTTCACCATGGTCAACTAATATGTGTCCCTGGTTTGTTTACAAACCCCCAATTATGAGAAAAGTCCATCCTCTCCATCTTTTGCCAACTCCACTTTTTAGAAAATGTGTGCTCAAACAGGCCATTTGGAGACTTTGTGATGTCACAAAGGGAAAGTGGGAGTGTCACCCCAGGTGGGTGACACACATGTTAACAGCCTGGCACAAAAACAAAAAAAATTGTATTGGTTAAAACTGAACAGGGATTGATTTTGTTGTTGTTACTCATCCGCTTTGATTATATTAAGGCTAAGAGTTATGCATACATTTACATAATTAAGGGTAAGGCTGGGCTGATTGACAGGTGGATGCAATGTAACCGTTTCCCGGTTGATCAAAGGTTTGGTGGAGACAGCATTTCCAATTTGGTGGCTGCCATCATTGGCCTTCAAAACATCTTTCCAGAAACCAATGCACAAGGTCAATGAGACTACATCCATTTGTTAGTCAGTCTCTGATCTATTTTAGAGTCAACCTCCCATGGTGCACTCTGCCCATACACTAGTCAGGCACAAGTGTAATCTTGCACAAGCTCAGACAGGAGAACTAGCTGTGCAAGAATGTCTAAGCGCCTCCCCCTGACACATTTGGACAATAATTCAAGCTCAGTCTTTTTTAGTTTCTTCAGATGCCCACCCTTAGCTTTAGTATGGGTTTTTATCATTTTGCAACATTTATACATGTTTTCTTTTTTCTTCTATCCAGGTATAAAACCTATATGAATCCTCTATCCACTCAAACTGCAGCATCGACTGATCCCTGTCTTTTTTTCCTGTATTTTGTAGGTAGACTGGAGTAAGTTCATTGCTGTTAATGGAGCTACCGCTCATCCACACTCTGACCCTGATGGTACCACCTATAACATGGGAAACTCTTATGGAAGCAAAGGTTTGTCCCATCATACACTACACTTGGTGCGGGGCAAATTATAAGTATAAGAATATGTCATGCCTTGACTTGTGTCAAACGATAATGAATCCCTGGTGCCAATATAGATATTTCAATATCTAATCTAAACAGATTTCCCTGCCAATTGATATTACTACTTAATATCATATATCATATCGTATGTCAGATGTGTGTACAAGCTTTTAAGAGGTACACTTTTATCCAGGGGCCCTGTACAACATCATCAGAGTCCCGCCTGAGAAGAAAGACGCCACAGACACCCTTCAAGGAGCCAAAGTACTGTGCTCCATTGTGCCTGCAGACAAGTCCCACCCCTCCTACTACCACAGCTTCGGTAAGAAAGCCCTCTTGGACATCAGAGGTTCTGCCTGTATCCTTTACGCCTCTGCTAAATAATCATCTTCTCCTGCTCACAGCCATGTCTGAGAACTACGTGGTGTTCATCGAGCAGCCGATAAAGATGGACCTGCTGAAGATAGTCACATGCAAGCTGAGGGGGAAGGCTCTGAGCGAGGGCATCTATTGGGATCCAAAGCTGCAAACTGTCTTCCACCTCGTCGACAAGCGTACAGGCGAGGTGAGAGGTCGCTCTTACTGAGTGAATACATTCCCCCTCTGTGGATCCTTGAGCATCTAATCGTTGCTACTTCACCACAGGTCAGCTCAGTGAAGTACCACACCAAAGCCATCTCTGTCTTCCACCAAATCAACGCCTTTGAGGAGGGCGGGTTCTTGATGCTGGACATGTGCTGCGCTGACGACGGCAAAGCCATCAACAACTACCTAATCCAGAACCTACGAAAGTCAGGAGACGCTTTGGATGAGGTCAGCATGTGACGATGAAACACACAGCTAACGGAAGGAAGGAATATAATGACCTCTGAGAAATCATCATGACAGTGTATTTTGTAACGTGACATTTTATTGTCTCATTGCACCAAAAAACAAACCCATATGTATAGCTACAATAACATAAATGATCACCTGCATTGTTTTTTAAATGTCTTCCACAGGTGTACAACACCGGGTGCCGGGCTTTCCCTCGCCGCTTTGTTCTTCCTCTCAATGTGACCCAGGAAACCCCGGTAGACCAAAACCTGAACACTCAGCCCTCCAGTAAGGCAACCTGTGTCAAAATCAACAAAGACAAGGTGAGTTTGAGATGAACAGTGTACTTTTCTTGTAGTTCTTTTTTTTTTTTTTATTGACATTCAGTAAACTTCTCAATAAAGTGTATCTCTGTCACTTTAAATATTCAACAAATATGTCTGCCAAAAAAACAACCTACCAAAAGTGTTCAGAACAGGCAAAGAAGTTGCAAAGAAGCAAAGATATAAAGTTGTCCTTTTCCCCGTTTACCCCATTTAAAAAAAAAGAAGCTAAAATCTCTGCTGCTTTAATGACAGAAAGTAATGAAAGGTACCAAAGCTTTAAAAGTTAACTTCAGGCCTTCAGTCATATTTAAACAAAAGCTGAGACGGCAGCGATCGGTCCATTCATATTTACTTAAAATATGTATAAAATCCTTGAATACAGACACTTCTCAAATCCTTCTTTGATCTCATGAAAATGCTAAAGTGTTTTTAATTTCTCATACAGAGAACAGAGGATGTGACCCTGTCAAAAATACATCCGGTATTGAGTCTTGTATTTTTGATGCTGAGGTACAGTAACATAATTAGAATTTGATAATGATTAATAATCCCTTTAGAAACTGTGCAAAGAAAATATGAAAAGGTTGTTCATTTGTTCATATTCTCTTCATTATATGTCTTGAAATTGACCCATCATGCAATCCTAATGTATCTGTCTTTTTTTAAATCCCATTGGCTGGATAAAGACTCTTATTAGAAAACAGCTATGACAGGAGAGTCTCACTTCAAATGTTTAGATGGAAAACAGTTCACAATTACAAAACAAATAACAAAATGAAAAGAATAACGACAATTCACTCCCTAACTTTGCATAGTTTTACTTAATTTGCTTTTTAAGGTTGTCATAATTCCAGAAATTTAAATTTTATATAATACTCGTAAAAAAACAAATAAGGACTATACATGCTTCATGTGCTGCAGTAACTGAGAATACATTTTAAGTTTTTCACATCTACACTCCTTTTTTGATCTGAGACCAGAAGGAAAAACACAGTTTGTTAATTATTTAATATGACTAACGTAATTGTGTAAAATCACAAGATCTTTGTCATGAAAGCAAAAGCACTGATTCAATTTATTAAGACCACACACAAAGTACACGAGTATCATAAACTGCAAGGTCAAAAACTCATGCAGCATTTCTCTACATGTTCAGTCAAATAAAAATCTGACCGAGTGACAATAAACATTCGATCCTCTGTGTAAACAGGTGTTTTGCCAACCCGAGGATCTCCATGGAGACGACCTTCAGGAGTACGGTGGCCTGGAGTTTCCACAGATAAACTACGCCAAATATAACACAAAGCCGTACCGTTATTTCTACGGCTGTGGCTTCAGACACCTGGTGGGAGACTCTCTGCTCAAAATGGACCTAAACGACAAGACGTTCAAGGTGTTTGTGTGTGTGTGTGTGTGTGTGTGTGTGTGTGTGTGTGTGTGTGTGTGTGTGTGTGTGTGTGTGTGTGTTCTGCTTTTGTTTAAGTCCACATTATAGCTTCTCCTTGAAAAAACACTTCACATATGTCTTTGTTGTACATTTTATGTTTTAAATGTTTTGCTCCGCAGCACATTTAGAGGAGCATTTAACCCTTTACTCGTGTTTTTGATAAACAGACTCACTTACAGGTTCAGCCGACACAAAAACCACGCTATCCTGTTTGTCAGGATTCCCTTAAATTTACACAGGCCAACTGTGATTATTTAACCAACCATGCTGGCTGTTTCCCCTGCTATCAGTTACTATGTTAAGCTAACTGCAGACTGGCGAAAGAGACGACAAGTGTTGTTGTGAGCTGTCCTAAAATATCAAACTAGGTCAAAGGTTAAAGAACAGCATGGACACCAACAGACACCATAGTTTAACTTGTGTTTACTCCCTCAAAGATGTAAAAATACAGAAACCCACTATGACTGGACTGGACTAATAAAGCAGTAAATATACAATGCTGTCCTACCAAACTGGTTTTTGGGTGAATATAATGAAGCAGCGCCCTCTGGTGTTTTAAAAGAAGGCCAGTTGTTTATCTACTTGAAGCTGGCATTAAAAACTCCCCTTTAGGTCCCATATGAAATAAACATGTTTACAGTCTGGTACAACAAAAAGTTTCACTCTATACATCTCACTTTTTTATTGGTTAAAACTGTGCTTAGCCCCGCCTCTTTACCTGTTTCTTTATTGTTGACAGTTATTTGGTGAAAGCATTTACAATATGGTAACCGCCAAAGTTTGGCTTCATAGAGCCTCTAAAGAAACCAATAGGTGACGTCACAGAGACTGCATGTATTATAAAATCTATGGGCAGTTTTTACAGTGAATTAGGGTTGAAATAGAGAACTGAAAGAATAAGGACTGAACAATGAGTGTCTGAGAACGAACATTATTTTTCTTCATCCCCTGAAAAAAACAATTCTCTCCTCAGTCCTTCCTCTTCATCTTAGATTAACGAGTCCAGACGAGCTGCAGACAAGTCGGCCTCTTGCTCAAAGACACTTCAGCAGGGTTTAACACTCTCCGCTGACAGTAGTGTGTGTGTGTGTTCAACCTCAGGTGTGGTACCAGAAGGGTTTCTACCCGTCAGAGCCCGTGTTTGTGCCGGCACCTGATGCTGTGGAGGAGGACGATGGTGTCATCATGTCTGTGGTTCTCACCCCCTCACAGGTAAGACTGTTTCTGAAGAACAAAGATGTGCAACAGGAATCATAGGAGAGCCCAAATGATGAAACTTAAACATTCTAAGATTTAAGAGTAAGGTTGCTTAACTGTCAATTCTGCCTTATGTGCAGAACAAACAGTGGACTGAAATCATTTTTCCAGACCGAGTGTAACAGAAAAAAACAGATATTTGTCAGTTTACAAATATAACTACAGTAAAAGAGCAGCAGACACACAGAACCTGCTGGAGGAAAAAGTGCTAATAGATGGTGTGAATATATTTCTTGGTGAGTTAAAATGAGCCAGTTTATAAAATGAATCTCCGGGTATGGAGCATACAAGTCCTGCTGCTTTCTGGAGTTAAAATCAACAGCAGGCAGCCGGCCTGTAAGTCCGCCTGAGCTTTGTTAGTTTTCTCTAAAGTCTACATGTACAACACTACGGCTGAATCCCGATGTCCTACCTAAACACTGAGCCCTTACTGACTTTATTGACGTCACCTGGAAAGTCAGTGAGTGCATGAGGCTGCGAGGGCTCCAATGGTTAAATACAAATGGGACAGCACTTTGCAACTTATCTGTAACCATGACTGCATGATTTCATGTAGCAAAAGCTTATTTTAGGTTTTTTTTACTTAACTCACTCACTGCCATGGTACTTATAAGAAGTTCTACTCAAAATAGGCCTATATATAGGCCTAAATGTCTTTGTTGTGGGATAAATATAGGTTTATCTTATCCTAATATAACAGGACTAATATGCTCTGTCTCTCTTGTTTTTGTTTATAGACTTGCAAATGAGTTCTGAATTAGCTGTATTTTCCAAATAAACTTTTTTAGTACACTGTAAATAGAGCGTGGTTTCACCTTCCTGTTTTTTTACTGTCTCTACCTTTTTTCCGTTTTATGGCGTTTGTTTACCTTTCAATTGTTGTTGGCTTCCCCGGGAAATCATATGTTTCCCATCACAATGAACTATGGGTAATTCCCTCACGTTAAGTCTGCAGATATGCCCACTTACGGAGAGGGTGCATAAAGGGCTCGTATAGTCAGCGAGAGATCCCTCAAACACTTTTTGATTTCACAGTGGGACAGCACTAAGCCCTCACAGATTTATCCGGGAACGCGCACCAAAGTCAGTGAGTGTATGAGGGTGGACATCGAGATTGGGCCCAGGTTGTACGTCTTGTATTTTTAAAAGTTCTTCTCAGACAAACAGAGCGTCTCTTTTAAAGTACAATATGTTTCTCTAAAGCACACAGCAGCTGGGTCTGAAGCTGTTTAGTCTAACTGAAGACTTTCAGTGTGTTGGGCATCGTGACATAGATGTATTGTGTCCAAGGTTATAATAGTTTTAAATTCTCTAGTGTTTATTTTTTTATTTTTTTATCTCAATTTCAGTTTAGAATAAATACGTTCAGACTGAAACACTCAGTGAAGAAAGTCAGTGAAGGCCTCTGAATATTTTTCATTTCATTTCAGAGTGTTGCTGACAATAAAGACAATCAACCAATGAAGTGATACGTGTCGGGGGGGGGGACCCCAAAGGGCCAAAAGCATCTTGCAATACAAACTTATAAACATGTTAAAGAGATGTGAGGATGTGTGTCAGAAATAATAATAATAACTTTATTTATATAACACCTTTTAAAAACACAGGTTTACAAAGTGCTTTGACAAACAAGAACAAGCTAAACCAAACACAGAAGAACATAAACAAAAACAAGAACAAACTAAACCAAACACAGAAGAACATAAACAACAGCAAGAACAAACTAAACCAAACACAGAAGAACATAAACAACAGCAAGAACATAACAAATGCAAAATAATTAAATACAATTCAACAGAAAAGAACCCAAAGTGCACGATACCCAACAGACATATATAACCCGACCATCACAAGAACCATTATAAGAACCATTATAAGAACCATCATAAGAACCATCATTAGAACCATCACAAGAACCATCATTAGAACCATCACAAGAACCATCATTAGAACCATCACAAGAACCATCATAAGAACCCAACAACACGAGCTGAGCCCAAGAGGAACCAAAGATTTAAAAAGGTGTAAGAAACTAAAAGAGCTGAAAAAAAATAAAAAGATAACAGCAATAAGAAGGAAAGAGCAGAAAAAGAAATAGAAACGTGAATAAATTATCAAAAAAAAAAAGTATATATACATATAAAACATAAATAGACAAAGTAAGATAAGAAATTACCAAATTAAAAAGAGGAGTTAAGATATGAGCATAAATAAAAGGACAGTAAGAAGTAAAAGAAGATAAAAAAATAGTAAAACCAGTAAGAAAAGACATGAAGAAGACGACATCACATAAAAGTCTGTAAAAGTACGTTTTAAGAAAGGGATTTAAAAGAGTTGAATTGTGTGCAAACTGTGCTTGTGTCATTAACAAAGACAAAGATGAAACCAAAAACTCTTTCTTTATCATTTTATTTGTATTTCACTCGTTATGTTTACACATGAAACAGTCAACTGTCTCTTTTTGTTCAGTCAACAAAAAGGTCTTGACAATCTAGTTTCTGTTCTTTAGTTATTTTCCTGTTCACAACACTTGACTGTCACTGACATTATTCTGAAGATGAACTGTCTGTTGTTTTTATAATACTTGGTGATAACTCTTCTCTGCAGGATAAAGGATCATTCCTCCTGGTTTTGGATGCCAAAACGTTTGAAGAGCTGGGCAGAGCCAACGTTCCCGTGAACATGGCTTACGGCTTCCACGGCACCTTCAGCGCCTGTGCTTGAAGCGGATACTTTGAAAGTGTTTCTGATATTCAATATAACATGAAGAATACCAGCGCAGTGTATAACCACTATACTCCTGATGGTCCTGACTCACCGCTGCACTATACTAAACATTGATGCAGTGTAATGTTACTGAACTGTTACTCTGGTTTGTAGCAACACACAACTGTGATAAACTCAAAGATACTTAAAGGAAGAATGTGGGACATTTTTACACTTAAATCCAGCAGAAATCAAGAATATCCTCTGTGAATGTCTCTCTGAGTCATGACTGGCTGTATTATTGTCAGAGCCGTGTTTAAATCATGTTTACATGGACGGGTGTATAAAGCTGTTTTAGTCGAGGACTAGAGAACAGAAGAATAACATACACACTGCTCATCTGGATGTTACCTAAGCGTTTTTAGATCTCGGTCATTGTGTGTCAATTTATGTGGAATATGAAGCTATGAGTTAACCAAAGTGTGCTAGCATTAGCCTGCTAACACGACAAAGCAGGTCACAGGGGATTACAGCTCCAGCCAAACAATTTTGTCTGCCGCTTGTGCTTAATGGTGCTTAATTATGGTGCCTTCTAATTGATAACTCGTAAAGTTTGGATGTCTGGAGGAGAGCGGAGGTGTGGCCAAACAGCAGTTTGTTTTGGTTTCATGCTGGTGCTCAAGGGCGACATCTGCTGGATCAAAAAGTTGCACATTCTTCTTTTAAGTTGAGTATTCAATGACATTCCCTTGGGGTTAATAGAAGCTGAAGTTCTGCATTAAAGAGAGAGCTAATGACATGATGTTCTGTAGCATCAAACCTGTGATTTCCAGGCTGTGTGATGTTCCTCTAAAGTGCCTCATGACCTTTTCTTTTTTAAGAAATGATAATTTGTGAGGTTTGATGACTTTTGTACACTTGGCATTCATTAAACTTGTAAACTGTTTAAAGATTGTTTAACGTTTTTGTATCTTTAACACACAAACACTTTTAGAACTTTTGGCTGAAATTAAACAGATCTTTCAGCTGCTCACAGAACTTTACATGGAGGAGTATGGATGAGATTTCATCAGGATGTAACACAAAGAAAGCCTGAAAGCAGAAAGATAACAGATATATGTTCTAAAGCTCTAAAAGGATTTATGTATTTATTATGAAACTAGATTTGATTCACATTCTTACCAATTTAATTTTTGTACATAAATGGTGCATGACTTCTTCTGACTACTCAAAGTGCTTTTACCCAGCAGGTCACACCTACACATTCACACACTAATAACAGAGGCTGCATGTAAAATCCCTTTTACACACATTCATACGCCCCAGACAAGCAGAGGGAGAAACTTTGGGTTAAGTGTCTTGGCCAAGGACACATCGGGCATGTGGCTGCAGGAGCTGGGATCAAACCCCCGAGACTTACTGGTCCAGAGACGACCGACTCTACCAACTGAGCCACAGCCACCCATGACCAACATGGTCAAGGAGAGAAATGTACATCCTGTTGTAAAGGACATAAAACTGCTTTTCTGTTCTTATAAAGATTTATTTTTTCCTTTAAGCCTTTTCAAAACTCCATTTTCCATTTCTCTGCTGTTTTACACTGAATAATAATTTATTAAACAATCATCTCTTTTTTCTTTTTCCCATAATTTCAGCAGGAAAAAAAAACAAAGTCAAATCATAGAGAGAACTCCTATTAATGTAGACATGTTTGATTCTGAAACAGCAAACATTAGGGGTTTTTTTAAATACCAGTGTTAAGTGTTAAAGCACAGCTGATGATTTCTTTTGTTTTATAATATGGATGAATCCAAAGACAGACTAGAAATGAGCTGCTCTGCATGGACACAATATCAATGCAAGTACTACAATTAAGAAGTAAGGACTGCTTGAACAAACCAGGAGTCTGATTATATAAATATATCTTCAACTCTTCAGGGATGTACGACGGAGGATTAGGGCCACCTTAAAAAAAAATAAAAAATTTGAGATTAAAGTCGTAAATTTACGAGATTAAAGTCGTACATTTACGAGATTAAAGTCGTAAATTTACGAGAATAAACGAGTAAATTTACAATTTTAATCTTGTAAATTAACGACTTTAAAGAAGTAGAACTTCTACAAGAAGTAGAACTCTTAAAGTCTTTAAAGAATAAAAGAATAAAGTTGTTATTTGAGTCTATATCAGAAGAGCAGCAGCATCCTGTTCTCAAATGACCAACATGGAGCATCTTGTCTTAAAGGTTTCACTAATAAGGAAATAGGCTACTTCCTTGTGTAGTCGGTAAAAACAGTTAGTTCAAGAGAAGTTTTCACTTCAACTTGTAAGACCTTGTTCATCTGTAAAATGATGAACAGGACATAAACTGTCTCTGCACATGAGACACTTTAACAAGGCAGACCGATAACAGACACAAATAGTTGTGTTGGGGCTTTACTTATGCAGATATGAAACTACACATGCTTTTGGCACATCATCATCTTCACATTGTCTTAAAATATCAGCACCCTGAAAAGATACTGCAAGAAACTGAAGAAAGAAGCACACTGACTTGGAGGAAGCTGTCTGCAGAGGAAAATATTTTAAGAGTTCTACTTTCATCATTTTGTGCAGGCTGGTCTCGAACTCGTTAATTTACGAGATTATTTTCTTACATTTACGAGTTTAATCTTGTAAATTTACGACTTTAATCTCAAAATTTAATTTTTTTTTTTACGTGGCCATAATCCTCCGTCGTAGGGATGAACTTGTGGAATCTGAAAACTTCAAACTCACACAAATAGAAAAATGTGCTGAAAATCTCTGACAGTCTTTTTGTTGAGGTAAGAAATACACACATCATCCACCAGGGGTCAGCACAGGATCTAATTTTTGACGCAGGGAGTGAGAACCAGTCAGTGAAACACAATCAGAAATAAAAGTGTCTCTATATTTTCAAAGAGCGAACATGAGTGCAATAAGAAATGTGTGTGTGTGTGTGTGTGTGTGTGTGTGTGTGTGTGTGTGTGCTTCTGACAACAAGAAGATCCAGGAGTGTGTGTGCACCATAAAGCAACTCCTCCATGCAGTGATCCTTGTTCTCTTTGTGTTATAACCGCTGAGAAGAGAGAAGCCTTCTCTGCTTTCAGATAGGGAATCTTAACGGATCCACTTTCTGCCTCATTCAACTGTTCCAACAAAAGGGTGAGGCAGGAGCAACGTCTCTGAGGGAGGCGGCCTCAACACGGGCGCAGCGGCCGTAAGAGGGATCAAACCTGTGACCTTCTAACTGTTGGGTGGACTGTAACCGCCAGCCCCTCAATGGCTCTTCAAAAACACACTGCAAACACTGGAGGAGCAGGGCACTGAACCTAAGAGGGGCTATTTCAAAGTCTTTGACCTTAACAACTACATTTAAAGGACACTCGAGACACACAAACACAGAGACAACATGAGAGGGAAAATCGATGTGTTCACCTCGAGTCTAAACTCAAGACAGGAGAAAAAAAATAAGAGAACATGTTGGTTAAAAATAATAATAAGATTTTGAGAAAATAGATTAGAGAAGAAGACTAACTGCAGCTTGCTTGTTCATTTTTTTTCAGCTGTGTGTGTGGTCAGAGAACAGATGCACGTTTCCATAGAGGAGTGGACAAAAGAGAGAGAGAGAGAGAGAGAGAAAAAAAACGCTCTGTGTGTTCTTGACAGCCGGTTAAAGCAACAGGAACCAATTTCTTTAGAAGAAACCTTGAAATCTGACAGTTCAGTGTAGCCAGTAGAAGTTTTTGATGTGTCAGAGAAACTGCAGAAAAATGATTTCTTCACCAAAATGTGTGTAATCATTTTTTTAAAAATCTGGAACGCAAACTTCTCGTACACATCACCTTCGACCTGAATGTGCATTATTCAATGTGCGAAGCTCCACAATCAATGCATGTGTGTACTTAACTTTGCAAACAACTTAAGGAATGTGGCATGGCAAGAAAAAAGTAAATCAATCAAAAAATAATTGCAGTGATTTATCAGAAGTTTGGACGTGATTTTTCATTGATCCGCTTCAGTCAGAACAGCTCAGTGAACAGGAGTCCAGCAGCTGCCTCTTTTGATTTATTCTGCAGGGAGAAGTGCTGACAGATATCTTCCTCCTGCAGCAAATCTTCAAGCAAACTCATTTCTGCTATAATCAGCATTCTTTATTTAAGATATGCAAAAAGATCTGTATTTGACAAAAAAAAACTTTGCTTGGAACAATTTACTTTGTGCTGTTGCTAAGCTCAGTCTGCTACAGTATCAACCATTGAGTGTATATACAGATGAACAAACTGTATCCACCTCCTCCTGTTGTAAAAAAGTGAAACAAAATACCCCCAACGATGGGCGCTCAGATATTCTGCTGGTGACGTCATTTGGAGCTACAGCTGTGCAGGAGAAACTCTGCGCCATTTTTGACATCCTGCCCCTTACCCCAACCAAATCAAATATTTTAAAACATATAATAAAGCAACAAAGATCCCTTAGTCAGGTACAGGTTGGTACAGTCCACAGAAGAATAGATTCTCATGTCAGTTTGAAGCAGAGACTCACCGTCATGGAAAGTTAAATGACTATCGTGCAAGTAGTTGTTACATTTTCTTTCAATGTTTCACCTCTAATCTGTTAATCTGTTGCACCTAGCAACAGGAGACACATTTGACCACTTGTATAGCATCACATTACTCTAACTACCAGAAAGAGGAACACTTTGACATAAAACAGCATGATAAGAACTTATAACTTATAAAGACAGAAACTATGTTGAGAAAAACATATTTGACATGTAGGCTATGTTTGACTGATGTCTCTCTGATGTGTGGTTAAAAAAAAAAAAATAACGAGGAGGACCCAAGAGCAGAAAACCAAAAGTATTTATTTGAACAAAAAGGCAAAATATGGCTTACTTTAAAAAAAGAAAAAGAGCCACAAGAAAACACAGGGAGTTAAGAGTTTTATCAGAGGAGCAGTTCCACCAAATTAATTGACAACAAGAGGGAAGGTACACTGAAATGAAATAGACACTGGGTGGGACACAGGTGAGACTAACGACACAGGTGAAGACGATCAGAGCTAACAAAATGGCGGGAAACCAAAAACAGGGAGGAAGTAAGACAAGTGAAGAAACACTGGGGACAAGAACTACAAAATTAAACAGGAAACTCTAAAGACACACAGAGACCTTAAGAATGTAACAGTAAAAACACACACAGGACATAGAGAAACACACAGACTAAACATGAAAATAAAGCATTAAAAAAAAACACAAAAGGGAATCAAGAAAAGCAGGAAATTAAATTCAAATACTGAAAGAAGCTAAAAAAACAAAATTAAACCAGAAATTCATGGCAGTCCCGTTTTAACAGATATATTAATGCAGCCAGTAGGGGGAGCTCCAGATGTTTTGGCTTCACTTTTTGGGAGCTTTCATGGCATCCATCTTTTTATCAATCAATTTCAATTTTTATTTGCATAGCGTCAACTCATAACAAGTGTTATCTCGAGACACTTTACAAAAAGCAGGTAAAATACCTTACTCTTTGTCTGTTAACATTACAAAAGAGCAGGTAAAAAGACCTTACTCATTGTTATGTTACAAAAAGCAGGTAAAAGACCTTACTCATTGTTATGTTACAAAAAGCAGGTAAAAGACCTTACTCATTGTTATATTACAAAGACCTGGCCTAGCCATCATGAGCACTTTAGTAAAGCAGCAAAAGTTACAGTGGTAAGAAAAATCTGCCTTATTAAAAGGCAGAAATCTTCAGCTGGATCCCCGGCTCATGACGAAACAGCCTTCACAGGGCTTGGAAGGGGATCGGGATAAAATGCAGGAAGAGGGAAAGGGAGCAAGGAGGTGGGGTGTTTATATAGTCTACATCAGTGGTTCTTAACTGGTGTAACATCAGGACCCATCACCAACACTTCAATGACAGCAGC